TCACCACCGCACATTGCAATGACGACGATGTCTGAGCCACCAAGTCGATGACACAGACAGCGGAGGTTCAAGTCATCCTCGTCGCCGATGCACAAGTGCAGCCTGTAACTGATGAAGAACAATTCACCCCGATGGCCGAGTGCCTAGAGCGTCAGAAATTCAAGGCGTTCCTGAGGAGCCGTAGTACCAAGCATCAAGTACGAAACGGAGTACCTCCTCGGTGCATCTCAGCTGGAGGGTTTCTGCGACGTGGGAAAGAGTTCCAGGAGGCGCCAAACCGATAACGATGCCCCCTGACAGTGACGATCGCCAACATCTAATACCAAGATGTATCACTGCGTTGAAGATGACAACCGAGCACGGGAGGGAAAAAGCTGGACCGTTTGTGAAAGATGCTCGTCGGTATTGGAGCGTTCATGATTGCTGAGATCACGGACAGGATATACATATATATATATATACACGTATAGAAAACATGTCACATGCCTGATTGAGAATGCAGAGGCTTGGAATCGGAACAAAACGCGCTTCCCTCAATTATCCTCCTCCTCGTGCATGCCATTACTCCTCAACCGTCCTGGCATAGGTTCGAATACCCATCATCATCACCAGCATCATCATGATCGCTAAGTTATTATCAACAGCAACAAAGACAACACCATCATCATCATCATCATCATCATCATCATCATCATCATCATCATCATCATCATCATCGGCAGCAGCAGCAGCAGCGTCATCAACATCATCATCATCATCATCATCATCATCATCATCATCATCAGCATCAGCATCACCATCATCATCATCATCATCATCAGCATCAGCATCATCATCACCAGCATCAGCATCGTCATCAGCATCATCATCATCAGCATCAGCATCTTCATCATCATCGGCATCATGATCATCATCAGCATCCGCATCCTCATCCTCATCCTCATCCTCCTCAATATCATCATCACCATCACCATCGCCAGCGTCATCGTCGTCATCATCATCAACCTCAACACCATCATCATCATTATCATCATCATCATCACCAACATCATCATCATGACTGACAGCATCGTCGTCATCATCGTCATCATCGTCAGCATCGACATCATCACCATCAGAATCCTCAGCATCATCACCATCATCATCATAATCATCTCCATCAGCATCTTCACCTGAATCATATGTTACCAATCATTGAAAGCACCATCAGCATCATCATCATCACCATCTGCATCATCTGAGATCCATCATCAACAGCACCATCGTCATCGGCATCGTCGTTATCAGCATCATCATCATCATCATCATCATCATCATCAATGACATAATCGCCATCCGCCCCATCGGTACATTCAACAGAATCAGCATACTGGTCATACTCGTCGTCACCATCATCGTCGTCATCATCATATCATCATCATCGCCGCCATCATCATCATCATCATCATCATCATCATCATCATCATCATCATCATCATCATCATCATCATCATTGTCGTCGTCATCATCATCGTCACCCTCATGAGTCATGAGTATCCTCGCCATGGACATCATCCGCATGAACATCACCTGCGTCATCATCAGCATCATTATTTGCATCCTCATCGTCGTCATCATTATCACCACCACCACAGTAATCATCAGCACCACCACCATCATCATCACCACCACCGTCATCAGAGTCAGCATCATCAGAGTATTGGCAGTTTTGTTGTTAGCAGTATTATGAAGGGTATTCGCATTGTTCTGAGTACTCGTTGTCTTATTCGTCTTCGCATTCATCAGAGTCATCATCATCATCACCATCATCATCATCAGCATGATCATCATCATCATCAGCATGATCATCATCATCATCATCATCATCATCATCATCATCATCATCATCATCATCACCAGCAGCACCCCATCAGCAGCAACAGCATCATCATGGACCCCCTCCTGCGTCACCTGCTCCTCTCTACAGCGGCAGCCCGCGGCGCTGGGCGCACCGTTCGATGGCACCGTGGACCTGCTCTGGTCTCCCGATGACGGTGACCTCGCGCGGACAAGACAGGTTCCGAACAACGGGTCGACTCCGCCGTTTCTCAAGCAAGAAAGAGGCGGGCAATGCGCAGAGCCTCTCAGCACGCCTTCTCAAAACCGAGCTGGGCATGGCAACGCTTTACGCGTGCTCGCTGGGCTGACGTTACAGGCATGAGCTGGCACTCGTGCGGCGCAGCTCAGGGACTCTCGGAGCGCGTCCGCACTCTCAGGTAAGGTGAGGACTTACGGGCAGGTCAGGTTCGATCGTTCTTGTTACTCGATCCTGCTGACGTAAGCGGTGAGACTGGACCCCGATGCTCCTCATCCATCGACCGCCTTTTGCTGGAAAAAAATCGGGGTAACCAGAATCATCGTCCGAGGCAGCCGGCTGATGTTCGAAGCACTGCCCAAAAACTGGCGTACGCGATCGTCTCGGAAGAGATCCGCAACAACCGCACCCCGAGGGGAAGCAGGAAGGGAGCAGCTGGAGAAGAGTGAGGGGTGGAGGCGCAGCAAATACTCGCACTCGCGGACTCCACGGCCAACGTTTCCTGCAGATCGGCACGTCTTGTGGCACCAAGTAACATGCAACCTATACGACCACTATTTGGGCGATGGGGAATTGGGGAGGATGGGCGCACCTTTCGAACCACGACTAACGTCGACTCACGCGTCGATATAAATATGCACACAACTATGAAAACATAGATTTGTGTTTTATCATATGGATAAACAGTTTCTATATACATATATACAAAACTACATACATGTATCCATCAATCCATCCATGCATACATGCATGCATGAATGCATACACGCACGCACGCACGCACGCACGCACGCACGCACGCACACACGCACGCACGCACGCACGCACACAGACAAACATACATGCATGTCTACACACATACCTACATATATACATGCATGCACGCACGCATGCATGCATGCATACATGTATACATGCATACATGCATGCATGCATGAATACATGCATACATGCATACACACACGCACGTATATACATACATGCATGCATGCATACATACATGCATGCATTCAAACGTGCCTTAATGTATGCCTCAATGTATACCTTACAAACATACCTTACATGCATACATGCATGCATATATGCATAACTATATACCTACGAACAGACAAACAAACATGCATACGTGTATACGTGTATTCGTACATACCTGTATACATACATCGAAACATACATATGTATATACATACATACATACATACATACATACATACATGCATGCATGCATGCATGCATGCATGCATACATGCATACATGCATACATGCATACATACATGCATGCGTGCATGCATGCATGCATACATACATACTTACATGCATGCATGCGTGCATACATACATGTATTCATGCATACATGCATGCATGCTACATACAGGAATAAATATATATATGTATGTATGTGCATACATGCACGCATACATGCATATATATATATATGACAGAAATACATAACCACACATACATACATACATACATGCATACATGCATGCATGCATATATAAATACAGACATGCATGCATGCATGCATACATACACGCATACGTGCATGCATACATACATACATACCTGCATCCATACATACATACACACATACATACATGGATGCAAACATACATACTGACATGCATGCAAGCATGCATGCATTCATATATATATATATGTACATACATACATACATACATACATACATACATACATGCATGCATGCATGCATACATACATACATACATACATACATACATACATACATACATACATACATACATACATACATACATACATACATACATACATATACATACATACATACATACATACATACATACATACATACATACATACATACATACATACATACATACATACAGATGTGTGTGTATCGGAAGTTGAGGGTAAGATCCAAGTGGATCGGAGAGCCCCCAACCTGAAAAGCGGTCTCGGCTTCGGGTTCTTGTCGCGCGTGTGGGCGAGGCGAAGCTGCGTTGGCAGTCGAGAGGAATAACTCCGCTGCGGCTAGGGAGGGTCAAGAGCCGTTGACCGCCCCTCCTCCCTCCCATGTGGGCGGGCGGTGGCCGGGTTGTCCCGCCGTGGTGTCCCGTCGCTGTCCGCCGCTCCCTCGCGGTCGGCGGGAAATGGCCCAGTTGTCCACCCGTTTTCTCCCGTCGTAGTCCCATCGGTGTCCCGTCGGTGTCCCGTTGATGTTGCGTCGGTGTCCCGTCGCTGTCCCGTCGGTGTCCCGTCGGTGTCCCGTTGGTGTCCCGTGGGTGTCCCGTCAGCGTCCCGTCGGTGTCCCGTTGGTGTCCCGTTGGTGTTGCATCGGTGTCCCGTCGCTGTCCAGTCGGTGTCCCGTGGTGAGATCTATAGTGAAATCGATAGTGAGGCCTACCGAGTGGGATCGATAGTGGGACCACATCGCGACGCAGCATCGTCACTACGGGCCGTCGCCAACTCGAGGGCGCATCACCAGCATCGTCATCATCACCGCCATCGCAGTTGTCGTAAGTTGGTTCTTTCTCCCCCACACCAACCTCCTTATCACCCGAAAGATGGCCGCATGTGTATATATATATATATATACACAGCCACACACCAATAGATGTGTGTGTATACCAATATACACCATATACTCCGCATCCGATATGAATTGGTTTAGCCAGGAACAAAAATCCTAGGATGGCACCCGCTGGGGCCACATTTCCTGGGGGGCCCAGGAAAATGCCCCTGGTGGCTCCCACAAGCTGCACGTATGGCACCCAAACTGCCCCAGGGCAGTTGACAACTCCCACAGGTGCCCCAAGAGCGCGCCAAGACGGCACACGATGGCCTCAACACTGCCCCAGCCGGCCCTCCCATGGGGACGCCCGCGGGCAGACCCGCGCCTGGTCGCCCTGCCGGTGCCGCGAGGCGCGCCCCCAGGACCGCGCCCTCACATGCGCGCGAGCAGGCGCTCCAGGAGGCGCTGCACGACGGCCACGTTGATGGAGTTGCCGATGAGGCGCCACTGGTGCAGCACGCCCAGCTCGTGCGGCAGGTCCACGTCCGGCGGGAAGCCCTGCAGCGCCATCACCTCCCTGGGCGCAAAGTAGCGCAGCCGCGAGAACTGGCCCTCGCCTATGTCCCTCGGCGTGGGGAAGCGCTCCAGCACGTGCTCCGCGGGAGTGAGGCCGTCCTCCTCCGTCAGGAGCACTGGTCCAGTTGTGCTGAGGCCCCTCAGGCCGAAGTCGCGCTTGCCGTAATTGCTGGTGAAGGTCTTGGTCACAACGGAGCTCCCGGTGGCCACATCCACCGTCGATGTTGACTTCAGGGACTTCTGAAGCAGCTGCACTGGCACTGGCAGCCGATCAGCGCCAGGGCCGCAGAAGTCGCGCACGGGTCTCAGCGGCTCCGGGGGGCCGTCGAAACCCGGCAGGGGCACCTGTGCAGCGCCGCCAGCGCCTCCGCTGCCCTCGCCAGCCACTACTGCCGAAAGGTAGAAGCGCTTGCGAGTGTTCGGGAAGCCAAAGGTGACGGGGTCCAAGACAACCTCCTCAACTTCGTAGCGTGTGTCAGAGGCGGCACCGCACCGTCTCAGCGCCTTCTTCGTCAACTCGTGAGTCTTGGAACCAAAGAACGGCGGCACGTTCTCGAGCAGCAGCGCCCGCGGCGGGTGCTTAAGCAGTGGCAGCACCTCCAACATGTGCAGAAGGGAAGCGGAGCGGGGGTCTTTGTCGTCCCCGCGTTTGCCTGTCTTTGTGAACGGTTGGCATGGCGGGCTCATCAGCCACAGGTCCGCGCCCTCGAACGCCTCTGGGGGCATTCGATCGATCGAGACTTGCCAGACCTCGTCTTGGCCTGGGGCATACTCCCAGCGCCGAGTCCCCTTTATGTCCCTCACGTAGTCGGCGCCGAACATTTGCGAGAAGACCTTGCAGCACGTCTCGTCGATATCCATCGCCCTCCACTGCGGCAGCACGGCGCCGTGCCCGACAGCCCCACGGTAGGCCAGGCGCATGCCTCCCATGCCGCTGAAGATAAGGGAACAAAAAACAGCATAAACATCAACTTTGGGACATCCGCGCGGACTCCTCGGATCGGCGCTGGATACCCGGGGCGGCGCCGGAGGCGCCGCCAAGGGGCTCCGGCGCCGATGCGAGAACTGCGCTCAGCCCACAGAAAGTTTCTGCTTCTGTCATCCTCTGCTCCCCGAGCAGAACTCGAAGACCCTGCCGAGCGCGCACAGCTCGTGCCTGAGGGGGCCCGGGAGGACACACAAAGAAGTACACACAAATCCCAGGATCCCCCATATCTTCTCACCTTTTCTGGGTTCTCGTCTTCCCCCCCCCAGGTTCCCATATCTTCCCATATTTTCTGGGGACCCGGCGATGACTTGTGTCTGTGTGCTGCTTCCCCTCCTGAGTGCCTCGCGCCGCGGGGCCACCGCTGCGGCGAGCGGCGGCCCCCCGCGGCGAGCGCCCGCCGGCGGGCGCCGAGGCCGCCGACGAGGCAGGCCGCCAGGGCCCCCGCGGCGCGCGGCCGCCCGCCGGGGCGCCACGCCCGCGGGCCCGCCAGCGGCAGGGGCGCCGCCCAGGCCCGCCCGCGCGCCGCGAGCGCCCGCGGGGGCGCCGCTGGCGTGAAGCCGGGCCCGTCCCCCTACGGGGGAATTTTGGACGACGAATTAGAAGATGGGCAAAAAATGCACCAAAAACGGTCCAAAAATAACCAATAAATCGTCCCCCGACTAATTTTTATGGATTTTTGAATTTTCCTCCTGTAGAGGGACAGGCCCGACTTAACGCTTGGGCGTGGCTCAATGGGGGGGTCAATATTAGGGGGGTCAGAAACAGTCCCCTGTCGTGCCCCTTTCGGGCCCCTCCTGAGCCCCAGGGGGCTCGTTCGGGTACCGGTTGGGTACCTTTCCGGACCACCCTCGCCACCTCCCCACTTATGATCCCCCCCATTACGCAACGCCCAACTGGCGCGGGCGCCGACGGGGCCGGGCGGGCGACCGCCATCCGCGCCGCTCCGGCGGGGGCCCCAAGAGGCGGCTCGCCAGCGGGCTGCGCGCAGGGAGGGGCCGCGCCTCGCGCGGCGAGCGCCGCTGGGGCCTCGGCCAAGCTGTGCACGGGCAGAAGACGCAGCACGCTCTCAGACCTAAGAGCGTCGTCGTCGTCGTCGACGACGACGACGACGAGGGATAGGGCAGTTCGAGGAATGTGCTGATGGGTACGGGTGCGAGCTGTCGGACCCTGAGGGGGACTACTGGCGATGAGAAAACGGCACATGTTTCCCCAACCATCCTGTGGTGTTGGGTCCTCGATCTGAAGAGACTGTCCCCGCGCCTTCTTTCCTCTTCTCTCCTCTCCTCTCGCTTCAGTCCCTTCTCCTTCTCCTCCACCTCCTCCACTCTTCCTCTTCCCTCCTCACACCCTTGCCTCTGCTGACCGCACGTCATCAACGTCACTATCGTCATCATCATCGTCATCATCATGGCACACCCCTCACACGTTTCGTGGCCCCATAGAGAGCTCCACCGAAGGTCCCAGGGGCGCCGCCCGCATGCGTCCGACCCACACATTTCGGCACACACCCCTCACAAGGATTGCGACCCCGTCGGGGGCTCCACCGAAAGTCCCGGGGGCGCCGCCCGCATGCGTCCGACCCACCCATTTCGGCAAGCCCCTCACGAGAACCGCGGACCGTGGCCTCAGAGGGAGCCCCACCAGAAGTTCTATGGGCGCCAAGAGGCTTCCAAGACGTCCAAGATGGCCTCCAAGACGGCCCTGGAGCACCACAAGAAGGCCCCAAGTCGGCCCGGAGAGGCCTCCAAGACGGCTTCCGACGGCGTCAGACGGGCCAGGAATCACATGAGACGGCCGAAGAGGCCCCCGAGAAGCCCCCAAAGACCCCCAAGAGGCCCAAGGAGGCCCCCAAGATGCCTCCAGAGGCTCCCAGGAAGCTCCTAGGAGGCCCCAAGAGTGCACCCAGAGGCTCCCAAGATGCCCCCTTCCTACCTCCTCCTCCTCTCTGCTCTCCTCCTCCTCCTCCTCTCCTCCTCCTCCTCCTCCTCCTCCTCCTCTCTCCTCCTCCTCCTCCTCCTCCTCCTCCTCCTCCTCCTACTCCTCCTCCTCCTCCTCCTCCTCCTCCTCCTGATCCTCCTCTCCTCCTCTCCTCCTCCTCCTCTCCCCTCATCCTCCTGATCCTCCTCCTCCTCCTCCTCCTCCTCCTCCTCCTCTCCTCCTCCTTCCTCCTCCTCCTCCTCCTCCTCCTCCTCCTCCTCCTCCTCCTCCTCCATCATCATCATCATCATATCATCATCATCCTCATCATCTCATCATCATCATCATTATCATCATCATCATCATCATCATCATCATCATCATCATCATCATCATCATCATCATCGCTCATCATACCACACCACACCACCACCACCACACACCATCACCATCATCATCATCATCATCATCATCATCATCATCATCTCATCATCATCAGCATCAGCATCAGCATCATCATCATCATCATCATCATCATCATCATCATCATCATCATCATCATCATCATCATCATCATCATCATCATCCTCGTCCTCGTCCTCGTCCTCGTCCTCGTCTTCCTCCTCCTCCTCCTCCTCCTCCTGATCTTCCCCGCCATCCTCCCCCAAGTGTTCCCCAAGGGTTTCCACAACGGCTGGGGGAGCGCATGGTCGGATAGCTTGGAAGAGCTCTTGCCACAACGCTTGGCCACACGGGCGACTCCAAAAGGCAGGGGGCGGCGGTGATTCGCCGTAGGCGTCGTCGATAGTGGGCAGGAGACTCTCTCAGGAACGCCTTTGAATTACTGCGGCCAGAAAAAGGAGAACTGTCAAGCAGTTGATGGATCCCTCTGGCATGAACTAATGTGTAAGGATCTGAAGACCTCTTGGCGAACTCTCGTGACATCTTGGAGGGGAAGGGGGCGAGCGGGAGGAGGAAGACGAGTGAGGTGGGGAGAAGGAAGAAGAGTCCGCAGGCGTAGGCGGCGACAGCCGAACGCGTTCTGCACACCCACACTTCCAATGCACGGAAAGCTGCGATCCCAAACAGCCACATAAGAAAGACGTGCACTGGCGCCCGCCGGGCGCGCACCTCGGCCGCAATCCGCCCAGACGGCGACGTCCACGGACGATTTCGGGGCAGTCCTTCCGGGCTGCCCTCACCGGCTTCCCAGGCAGCGCCCAGACGTCGCGACGAGATGCTCCTGCCCATTCAGCCGTCGGGCCCAAATTGGTTTGGCGCTCACCCGCTTGATCCTTCTCTCGTGGATCAGGTCGGGCATGTCCTCCTACAGGCGGATTTTGAACGAAAAAACAAACATGGTCGAAAATGCGCACGGAATGATGAAACATAGTCGAAAAATCGTCACGAGACTATTGCTTGGCTATCCTTGAATCTTCCTCCTGTAGAGGGACATGCCCGACTTAACTCGTGGAATGCCGATCCGATCCTCCTGCCCCTCCTCCTCCCTGCCCCTGCCCAGGAGGTCCCCAGAATTCACCGGGGATCTCCAGACGTCCCTGGAGGTCTCCAGAGGTCCCCAGACGATTCTCTGGAGGCCTCCGGATAGGAGCTCTATGCTCAGGACCCGCCTTCGCTCAGAAAATGTCCTTCGAATTTAGCCGAGCGGGTGAGGGTCCAAAACGACTAGCCCATAAACTAAAAAGTTCTGGGGCGTCCAAGAGGGGGACGTCCAAGAGGGGGGGTCGCAAATCATTGCCCGAGGCATGTGCATGGACCAGGGGGGGGGGCGCGCCGGGAACGCATTGAAATAAGAAAGAGGGGCCATGAAATCCGCGGAGACATCATGGCCCCGACCATGAGATCCACCCCCCCCACCGGTCATTACCCCTTCTTGGATGCCCCCGATGTTCGAACCAGCCTCTGCCCAGACATCGGCCCAGAAAAGTGGCCGAGCGGGTGCCAGTCTCTGGTGGGCTGCCCTGATCAAGAAGCCCCCCCGAACGCAGAGCGAGAGCCACATCGCCCGACGGGGGAAATGGCGACGTCCGAACCCGACCCCCCCGCAAACCATCGGATCTCACGGATCGATGAGGGGCGGGGGCCGGGTCACATGTCGCCACGTGTTCGAAGAATTCCGATCCCGAACCCCGCCGCCCATCGAGTTGCCTGGATCGTTGATCGGCGAGGGTATAGGGTTTGGCTTTCGCCGCCGAGTCGGGGAACCGGGCCCGCTCTTCGGCGATTTCTCGAGCGCCAGGGGGGCGCCTTCCCCATCCCAGGGCGTCTCGGCGACAGGCCTACGAACCTCGATCCTCGACCCCTCCTCCCGGGCAGGTGCGATCAGTCACTGCACCGACCTTGCAGACGTGTTGCAGCGGACTTTTGCGCGGATTTCTGTCCACGCAAAACCCCGAAACGGCAAGTAAAAAACGACGTGAATTCCGCGTGGATTCTTTTTTTGGTCGTCACTCCTGGCCAACAAAAAAATCCGCACGAACTTCACCTCGAAATCCGGAACGAATTTCTCCAGGACACTCCGGGCCCATCCTATCGTTTTCCGAACGAGATCCGCTCTGTGATGTTGGCGCCATGAGATCAAGCCAGGCCAGACTTCGGGGATCTTCTGACCCGGGTCAATCCAGACCCGGATCAGCAGGAAACCAAAAAACTGCAATGCAGGAAAAAAACTGCAACGCAGGTCTTCGCAAACCCGGGTCAGCCAATATGCGCGGCCGCCTCGCGGCCACTAGCGGTTCGCTAACCTGGGTCAGCCAGAGGGGGTCTTCGCAGGATCCTGCAGGATCCGGTGCCCTGCTGACCCCCGTTTGCATTGAACCCCGTCCCTTGAGCCCCAGAGCCGCAGCACGACCTTTCGGGGCTGGTCGGGCCACCCGTGCTCCACGTCGACGAAAGCGCCGGTGTCCTCGAGCCGCGGAGGCAGGAGGAGGAGCATCGAGGATCGAGAAGGAGGATCGAGGAGGAGGAGGAGCATCGGGGAGGAGAAACGAGGAGGAGCATCGAG